CACAGTTTTTCCAGGTGGATTCCGGAAATAGCAATATATATTGCTTAATGACTAGGTCTTCGATGTGACACGAATAGCTGGCTGTACATCCAGCAAACTGCAGTAATAGCACACATTACACGCATGTTTTACTTCGGTTTATTTCCAAAACTGGCTGACACACATTATCCGCAAAAAAGTATTAAACGTGCACGAAGAGAGAGCTTCACATGCTCCGCGTGGACAAAAAGCGTCGGTTTTTTTCACTCCTACGAATATCCCATTATCCTGAATATCCTGCGTGTGTGAGGCTGACGTGCGGCCTAGGCTTGCATATACTTTTAGGACTGCATTTATTTGGAAGTGCAGCCTCGTGCACAAAAATACGGTTAATAAAGTACTTTTTTGTGGAGACACGTGACACACAACTACAGCATGCAAAAAAAAAACGGCGAGGAGGCTCGGAAAGCTTCCGCTCACACCACAGGCAGCAGTTGAGAGGATCCGAGTCACCCTCGTTTACCGCTAAGAGAGAAGCTTCAAACGGGGTCTCGGGCGAAAATAACGTCGCGGAAATTTACTGGACACACACAATAAATCGCAACAACAAGATTTACTTTCGATTTTAAAAATACACACGCACACAGAAAACATCACGTTCTCCTATCTTTCAACGCAGCTCTTGCAGGCTATACGACTACCCACGGACCGACGACTGGCCCAGGGTACCTCTCCCCCACTTGCGCCGCGGGCACATGAGCGCATACTGGAGCCCCGCGCCTCGCAGCAGCGGGAACATAAAGCGCGCAACGGAGTTGCCCGGCGCAGCGTTGGCGCGACCTTATTATATGTACAAGCGATATCAGCAACACGCGCGCAGTGTCCGCAGGCATTTATTCAAGGAGCGGCCCACCACCGCCTGGAATTCCTGGCATTCCCCAAGATGAGGAGTACTGCTGCTTGAGTTGAAGACTCGAAAATTAACAGTAAGAGGATGCGGCGCCTACTTCTGGTTAAATAAGGCAATTTTAGCAGAAAGCTGCTCGAGCTTTGAATCGCTGCCGCGGTTTTTCAATCGCGCCAACGATTACTAGCTGATTAATTCTAAGCAAACGCGAATTTTATGGTATATCATGTTCATGCTGCCTTGGGAATTCGATCTTTTCTGTCGGGTGAGATTATAATGCGGGACAGCTGAATTTCGACGCTATGACGGATCCCCGGTACTTTTTCTATGCAAAATTTACCGTGTTTACTCAAACACTCGTTATGCGTCCAGCATACATTCTCAAATAAATAAACGGAAAAAAACACAAAAACTACGCTTATCGTCGAAATTCTATACTAAATGGAGTACTGTAAAGTCCACACTGACTTGAAGATTCTGGCAAAATTCCACTGCTTTCTCGAATGCGCGCGTATTAAAAATATGCGAAAGGGTTACAACTATTTTATCACTCAAACATGAAAAACTTTAGGTACTCATTAGCAACCTTGTGATTGTAATTCAAAAAAAAATATTTTCCTAAGCATCAAGACCTGCTGGTAAAAATTTCCGATTACAGTACATTTAAGCCATTTAAGGCCTCTTTTTGTTTAGGAATAAGCAGAATTTTTTTCCAAGATATGAAATGTGTGGCGGCTTGTATAAATGGTTAATTTGCTTTATTCAAAAAGGAGTGTCCAACATGAGGATGCGGCCTGTATTCACGCACGGAATTCCACAAAAATGAGACTATCAACGGTTTTTTCACATTCTCTGTAAATGCTTCACTTTCATATCATCTGGCAAAAATGTTCGCGGATTCGTTCAAAATCCATTCCCCGACTTTATTCCGTCAGTTCTCTCTTTAAACAACCGACTACATACTTCGTTGCCAGTTCTCGCCATGAATGTTTCTCTTTGCATAAAAATTATTGTTTGAAAACTGGGATGCATCATGTAAGAAAAAAATATAATCTGAAGTAATATTTCATTGATCAAGGAAATTGGCAACTAGTGTTTGATAGTTTTACATTCTTCAGATCCCAGTTCAACGTTCCGAATTCAAACCACGTTTTCGCTTCTGAAGTATACTAGACGTGACCAGTGAGCTTGTGACTACTGAAACATGCAGGAGCAACCACACCAGTGGGTGAAAATATGTCCAACGCATTTAGAGTACGCATTCACGACTTCTACATATTCCTCAGGTTATCTCGGCGGGTCATTCGGAATAACATTCTGCAACTTCACGTGCACCATTTTCCATAGTACAGGCAACAGTTTTTTTTTTTTTCAAGACTAGAACAACTGAACAAGCGATCATACTTTAGATGGAGTATCACAGAAATTGACTAGAAAAAATTTCCCGCGATAATGTTGAAGAATTTCTTGAATCGCAGCGCGGCACTTGATCGAATAAACGCTATAATCCTCGACCGAAACACAGAGCTGCATACTTTCGCTAATTCTCGAAGCCCCACCCGGCCACCCCGAAAATTTTCATCTACAGTATGTACTGCACTCACATTTTTCCTCACAACGTCGGATTCCGAAAATCTTCAGGTAGCGAAGTAGTTTACCGTCTCGTTCGTCTGCGGCGACGAAAATTCGCGGGGCAAATACCGTACCGTACATCGGAACGCTCTCAAAGTAGATTTCATTGGAAGGAACCTTGATGTATCCTCAAGCATCAACGACAGTTTCAATATTCCCTATGTAAGTAAATACAGAATATGTTTTGAAGATTGCTTCATAGCGTAAAAGCTGTTGGAAAGCAATTTCCTGATGAAGAAAATTTTTTACGCTTTTTCGGAGTCCGTAGAATGAAAATATTCTTCAAAATTATGCAATTCAACAGCATGCATTTACTTCAGAGATGAGACAAAGATGTCTGCAGGCAAGAATTGTTCAATATTGGCCTGTCTTCTTTTTACCATCTTGCTGCACGAAAGAAAGAGTGATTCGATTCATGCATCGGATTTGAAATTAATACGGGTACCTATGTGGTTATCAAAATGTACGATAAAATCCCCGCAGCGGGCTCGTTCAGAAAAATCATTTAATAGCACTGTAATTTAGTATTTGCGCGCAATATGTATTGAATATCTCCAAAATTCCTCACCCATATTTAGTCGAAGAAAATGCTTTAGTTTCACAAGCAGGTCCATGACGAGTGAGCACGGCTTCTTTTCGTTCACATTTCACATCACCGCGAAATGAATCACAAGTTTCTTCGCACCAAAATTCTCTGGGGATTTGAGAGCCGAATTGAAGATGGAATAACACTGATTCAGCTTCGATCTCAGTTACTGACAGCAAATTATCCTAGTCATGCTACTGTACAGCACTGAACGGCTTCTCCAAAAGGTGCACTTCCTGAAGTTAAAAAAGTCCCACTCATCCCATCAGGTAGAAAAACTCCTTCACTAAGTAAAGCAAAATACGTGACCAGGAAATTAATCATCTCATGCTTTGCCACGGTGAAATTGTTACTCAAATTGTAACTCAGTTTCATATAAACATTCCAGGAATGAGTATCCCAGCTCGCTGCAAACTTCTCTCCTACGGAACAGTACGCCGCCATGTTTACTCTCTGCCTCCATCTATCCGTGAGCCGATGCTCTACTTCCTCATTCTCCAATAAAGTATTGTACTGTATATTGTACAGTTACTGGGTATACTGACGTCCATAAATGTCAGGAAATAATTACTGTATGCAGAACAATAAGATGGCAATAATTTTTAATTCGGCGTTCCGGAAACTGGAGAAATATGCATCCCAAAAATTTGAAGGAACAATTCCCAACTGATATTGTGCAAATCAATATTAGGTAAAACGACGATACGCTTCATTGAATATGATCAACCAAGTTTTTTATTGCAATACAATTGTTTTGATTGTATAATCGATACTGCGTAACCAGCAGGGGGAAACTGCTGGCCACCAATAATTCAGTAAATTATATACGTATACAGTATATACGATTAATAAATCCATCAAGAAATGTTTCCCATCAACATCTGCAAATTTGGAATCAGATGATATGTACGTCATCGTCATGGTCAAAAATTAGCCATAATTTCCTTCAAATCGCTCTGATATATACTACAGAACTACAGTATATGCAACATCTTCAGTTCGTTCTTCACACAATGTGTTCATATTGATCCCGAGAATTTCCGAACAACTCAGCATGACTACATGAGACAATGAAGATCATACGATGGATGTCCTACTAGGTCTGATCGATTCTTCCCAATTCCCAAAATTCGAGAAAACGCAGTCGCTCAAGAAAGCGTGAGTTCTGTATAGCTGATATGTACAGTACTGTAATTGGTTTACAATGTCTAAACGAAGAGTTATTTATGGCTTGATACTCGTAATATGCGTGATTCGCTGGTAGTTTGCCAATGTAGCATTTATCTCGTCTGTATCGTCTGTGCTGTAGGGGCACCTATAGCACTGTTCTCCGGAAAGTGAGAAAGCCACCACTAACACATAGCTACATCTAGTGAACGGTAGGAAGTAAACTTTTGACGTTCAACGATTCTAACGCGGTCTCCTGGATGAGGCATGCATCCGGATGCTGGCCCCAGGGCATTCCTGAGGTTCCAGATCTCGGGCGTTTTTAGCTCAATCGGGCCGAGACATTCGAATCGACAACGAAGTTCCTCGTTCGTGCAGTGTTAAAGTACTGTATGTACCATGTGTGGTGACAAGAGGAACCTATTTTTCTCGCTGGACGAGATCACTATTACTGTGGTGGAAGCCATGCCGATTAAAGTACAAAAATGCTCGTTACATATTTGCCGCGAAATGGTTATGTTCTTGAATGACGATGCAGTGCATGGTATGTAGAGCCTACACTCGGCGCTGTGAATTTCAAGTGTGTTCGCAACCAGCCATTTGACTGACAGGATGGTGAAAGTTCCTCATGTCTTCCTTTCTGTGCGTTTCTTCAGGCTTTTTGAAGTTGCACCATGAAAGGGGGTGGTTGCAGTCTCCACGAAGTTACGAGCTTGAGAGGAAATAGAAATGATACTAACAAGCGCGTGGGCGGAGAGATACATATCTCCGATCATCAATATTCACGTTCCGGTGGAACGCGAATCTCGCGAGAAGAATCTCCTCTTGCCACCAATGGTAAAGCTGACGAGCTTTATGAAGATTTTAAAGTTGACGAAAATTCCAAGGAGGACCTGGAAGCACGACTGACATGGCAGAATTTGTATATAGTGAACTTGGAGAAAATCTTAACTCAATATCAGAATGTGGTGCAATGTTGCCATCAAAAAAATGCAATGCTTCAGAGCAAAATCCAGAAAGTAAGGACACGAGTTGTTACTTCGGTTTACAAAATGCTTAAAATTTTCCATGTGCAGCTGGAACAGCAACTCGAACGCAAAAATCGTCGTCTATCCGTCAAGCCGAAGTCTCCCTCTGGATGTTCGTCAGAAGCGGTTTCTGCACCTTCTGTATCTTCGACGGCGAAATGTAAGGAACAGTCTTTATACTCTAGATCACCCTTCACTCAGGTCTTGTTTTTCCAGCCATTAGTCTCGATAATCGCAGTGCTCCTCGTGCAACGCCGAAACGATCTTGTGACCGCGCTCCAGTCCTTTCTCAGCCTACGAGCAGTAAGCTTCCAGCTAAGGTAATCGTCCCATGTGCATCTCGGAACGCAAATAAGGAACGAACTATCCCGACAACTTCCTCTGTAACGAGTGAGTTCAACGTTCAAAAGTCTCGTGTAAATAAATTTTCACTGACTTTTCTGTTTCGTCGCTTGAAGCGATTGCTGAAGAACCTTTCGAAAGGCAAGCACACTCTCTTTCGAAGTATGCCAAAGTACATTCGGATTTCCTTATGAACTGGAACCTTTCACCTGATGATATTCACGACTCTAAACTGTCACCTGGTAAAGCTGATATGGAAGCACCCATTGAATGGTACATCGATAAACCTCCGGTGCGCCCTGATCTTGCTCGAACTCGAAGAAGCCAAGGACCTTGTTGGAGGACGGATGTCACCTCCATGATGGCTCATGAAATTGCTCGTGAGGAAGACCTTGCTCGGCTATGTCAGCGAGGGGAAGCGGAAGAAAAACGTCGAATTAGATGGGATTTGCAATCGAAGAGGGAATTAGGTAAACGCAAAGATTCTGAAGGGCCTGATCAGTGCGAAGATGAGTCTACGGCATCCGTCAATGAAACGTCAACACCATCCCATTCACATGAACGTGAGATAGAAACCGACGCGGAAGACGGATTGGAAGCACCGAAAAAGAAGGTCAATGCGGAGTCCGCCAAAGGCGACATCGATTGGGCACCGATTGATAACATTTTATTCTTATTTGGAAGTGAATTTTCTTGAATCCATGTTAACCCAAAGTGTTATCTTGTTAGAATATTTGTCGAGAATGTGTTTGAAGCTCTTGAGGAACCTTCACGGTGAACTTGCGGCTGTGACTTCATCTCTCGCTGCATAGATCATCTTGTAAATCGACAACGTCGCGATGGATTGAATAATTTTTGATGCTCGATGGGCATTTTCTGGTGTTTTAATGCGCATGGAAACATTTTTTGGAATCATTGATGCGTGTCTACAAACTCGTGTTCGTCATTTTGTTGCGTTCTTATCTCTTTGGCGTGTTAATCGAGCGTTAATGACCGATTCCAGGATCAGTTTCAGTGTGTGAGTGCTTTATGTCTCGACTATTGAGCCAGTTATCCAAACATGTCGCTTGCAAAACGGGTCCAGCTTATGTCCTCGGGCCCTTTGGAGAGCAAAAAACAGGAGCCCAAACCCGTTCCTCGAGCTGTTCGGTTAACCATCAAATTGGGTGAAACGACCGACGATTATTTTCCTTGCATAAACTACAAAGAACTTCTTGGAAGACAGTTGGTAGGCGTTGTGCAGCATTCTTCATTACCGACATGTTTTTTAATTTATTGATGCATTGTAGAAAAAACTTGAACTTCGAGAGAAGAAAGGCGTGGTAGATGCTTCCAGCGATGAGGATCCTTTTTCTAGAGAAGAAGACGCTGAGAACGATAAGCTGGTTGAAATAGCGAGGAAATTCGAGGAGAAATATGTATGTTATAATTTGCGCCAGCTTGTGTTCCACATGATCTTTTCTTCTGTTTCAATGATCAGGGTCAAACGAGCAAACGAAGGCCACGTGTTGATGATTATGAAGAGCTCGCTGACGGATATGATGAATCGGATTCCTTTATTGATAATACGGAGGCTGTAAGTGCACTTTTAATTTATGGGTTAGAATGATGGCTATCAAAACCCCCTGTAATGCTCCGTATAGAGTCTCGCGATGTTCCGGGGTCATTTTCATGTTGGAAACAGTTGAGGCTAAGCAATTCATTCGTGGCCCTGAAACTAAGGATGTACTTTTAATAATCGGAACTGAAAAAGTTGATCTCATTTTCCTGTTTGCATTCGTAGTTGGACGAAGCAATGCCGGAAGACGTGTCACCTGCGCTAGGAGGATTCTATATCAATAAAGGTCGTCTTGAGACTAGGAAAAACGATGATCTTTTCAGATTCTCGCGAAAAGGGGGAGAAACTGCATTGGTTTCTTCGGATTCTGAAGACGGTGACAGGCCGAAGGAGCGCAAGAACACGGAATGTTCTGATACTACAGACGCTTCATCAGTAAAAAAAAGTGGAAAGCATAGGAAAGATAAACATAAATCTCCGAAAAAGAAATCAAAGAAAGACAAAAAACACCCTGAGAAAAAGCTTCCGAAAACTACAGATGATAGCAGTGAGTTTTCCCTTAGTTACAATAGTATGTGGATGACCACGTTCCTAATCGAATGTATGACCAGGCTCGTCGGTGTCTGATACCATCGAAACTGTGATCAACAAAGCTCAAAATAATGAGATCAACACCCCAAAAGTGAAAGGTCGTGAGGATGGGATCAAGAACAGCGTGGCCGATGCGTTAAAATTGAAAGTGAAGAAGGATCTCAATGCGAAAGGTAACGGTATTCCATTTCCATGTGTATGATTTTACCAATGATCGTGATCTGTCCTGTTCTCCGAATAAAATTACTGGAAACATCTTCGTGTTCGAGTTTCCGTCATGCGTTGTGATTTGTATAGCAATAAATTGTCGTTCTTCATTTTCGAATTGAGCTTGCTTGCTTTTAAAAGTTGAATATTTTTTCGACATCTGTTGGATTTATCCTTTCCAAACCATAAAATTGGAGAAAACTTCGAACTTGAAGGGAACGTTTCATTGTGTAGTTCGTAAGGCGTCGTCAGGACCATCTGAGGAGAAAGAAATTTTGTCGCCGGTTTCAAAAACAAGCGCCGGCAAGCACAAACTCCCCGACAAGTTGCCATTGGAAATTGCGAAACCCGTAGTTAAAATTGAATTACCTCCTACATTGCCGGACGAAATTGGTTACCTGGTAGGATGCTTGAAGAATGAGCATGAGGAATGTGTGCGGGATCGCAAAGCGAAAAAGGAACGATCGTCCGATGACAGCGAAGGAGAGGAGGAATTCTCCATGGGAGGAAAAATGTTTCCAGAAAGCATGAAAACGAATTTGATGAAGTGGGTAACACAGATTGACCTCTCGCGTGTATGAGTTTTAAAATATTTTTAAATGTAACTCCTTAGGTTGGAAAAAGCATGTCGGGGTCTGGACGTGGAACACCGCACGCAGGTCTTCACCTACCTGGGATCGACATTTGAAGTCAAGGCTGACGATATGCGCCGTAAGTCAAGAGATCTGGTAAAAGAAGAGGAGGATCGTCGACTGCTGCCATATCTGTCTCAGTAAGTTTTTTTTATCTTGTGTTAATCCAGTCTCAATTTTTGACGTCGTTGTATTCCTACTTCAAGGCTGAAGAAGGCGGTTGATGCAACGATGCCTGAACTCGAGAAACGTCATCAGAACAAATGTAAGGCAACAGCTGAAGGAAGAACTGAAGAGCAGAATAGTGACTATGAAAGTGAGGAAGAGAAGGGAGACAAACCCAAGACTCGTATGCCCCGGCGTAAATTCATTTGGAACGAAGACGTTCGGTTCGTTGTTGGAAATATTCATTCATGGGTGATATTTACAACGAACATCCATCGATTTTTTAGGGAAACTTTTCTTGATGTTGTCCGCATCAAAGTCAAGATGTTTGAAGAAGACCAAAGTCCAGGGCTGGATCCCGAAAATTACCTGAAAGACTTTTTCGAGCAGCGCGTAAAAATTATTTGGCCCAAGAATTGGATGAACGCTCGAGAGCTGTATAGGGAATCCAAGAACGTCCACTCGCATCTTACGTGAGTTTGAATCGTGGAAAATAATGCTTAAGTATTTCCCTTTCGCTTCGTTAAGTGTTTACAAATCATTTCACGTAAAGGGAAGAACCCTTCGTAGCTTAGTGGGATCAACGTGAAAAAGTTGATTTTAATATCAGATGAATATGGTCCTTTTGCTCTACTCATGTGATGGCTAATGGTTCCCAATGTCACTATTAACTCTTGAACTGCTCAAAATGTTATGATTGATTCGATTTTGTACAGGAACAAAACTCGGAGGGGTAATCTGCCGCTTATGCGAAAAAGTGGCCCGCAGCTGTCCATTCCTGCCCCATCGATGTCCCCAGTATCTAGCGGGGTCCAACATCGGAATTCCAGTAGCCCAGCTGCCTCTGGCCCGCCTACCCCAGTTGTCTCAGTGTTGAACCCTGTTAAAACTTCTCCAGTGGCAGAACCTTCTGTCACCCCGACTAGCATGCCCTCTGGAATCGGTCCATCAGAAATGGTTATGAACGCCATGAAGGTTTTCATGAATGCGGGCAACTATGGGAACAATGCTGCGAGTCTTTTGAATGAAGAAACATTGAGGGCTATGATGGGGTTTGGGATGAATCCTGCTGGACTGTCGGCGATGTTGCCTGGATTTGGTGCACCTGCTAAACAGCCGAGCACGAAACGTCAGAGGTAAAATAGTCCTGCGTTCATTTGTGGATCACAATTTAAAAAAATTGGATGTATCCTTGATTTTCTCCCCATGTTTCAGCATTGTGCATTCATGTAATGTTTGGTTTGATATCTCGTACGAAACCAAGCAACGTTAATTCACGTTGACCCTTTTCTGCTAATTTTTGTTTTCCTGATCTATCTCGGCAGTTCTTCCGATGAGCGTCGTCCTCCTGAAAAACGACGGAAAACAGATCCTACCATGATTCCCCCTGTTAGAAATCAAACCCCGCCGTCGGCTATTCCGTCGTCTTCTCCATCGCTGACAGTGACCGTGTCTCCGCCGAAAATCCAAAGCGTAATGAAGCAGGATCATGATACAATCGTTCTCCCTCGAGTGAACCTTACACAGCCATCTCCTTCAAACGAGAAAAGCGAAGATGACGTGAAAAGGATTTCTCCGCGAGGAGAATTCCGACCTAGCACGCCCGACATTAAATTGTATTCAATGGGAGGAATGGGGAGTAAAAGTAACTCCTTGGTTTCTCCGAGTTCCGCTATTGCGGCGTCCAGAAGTCAGGCTTCCGTCAAGCAACATTCGTCTCCCAAATCTTCTGTATCTATGCGGGTCTCGACTCCCAACGCGAGCTCTTCAACGTCAGCCGGATCCATGTTGGGCGCGAAGGCTCCGTTAGGGTTGGAAGTAACGCAGATTCCTAAAATTTCTAATGTGACGACGAGTCCTGAGGTTTATAAACCTCATAAAAGGCCAGTCCTTGAAAGCTCAATGCCAGTGTCGAGCTCGTTGTCTGGATCCTCCCGTGATTCAAATTCTGAAGGTTCCAAAGGTCGTAGTGTCGTCAGTATACCGAAGTCGACCACCCTGACTTTGACGCAAATCGAAAGGCCCCAGTCTTCGACAGCGATGGAAAGGAATCGTGAGTGAATTATTTGTTTTTAATGATTTGTGATGGAAAATACGGTTACTCTACGTTATTGAGCTTTGTTGACGATTATTTTAGAAATAAGAGGAAAGTCACTTTCAAAATTGGAATGTCGAGTAATCCTCACCCCTTTTTTATATGCTTGATTGAAATTGTCACGAAAAAGTTGTATTGAGTTTCGATGTTGGTTTTGTTTTTTCGTTCATCAGCGTCAAAGCCTGTTGAGGGTTACGACCTTACAATACCTTTGTTGAAGCCATCGTCACGTCCTGAATCCCGTTCCATTCCATCGTTGCCTGCTGGACTTACTGTGTCCAGCGCATCGTCTGCGAAGCCTCGATCAACTCCTCTTCCTAAACAAAGTCCCCTGGATGAAGCGAAAATGTCCTTGCCGATACTCAGTTTAGGGTCTGAGTTGAGTTTTGCTTCGGACCTGTCGACTGGATTCGGAGATCTATCGCAGAACATGAAAGCGGACTTGGCTGACGGGGCCGTAGATTATTCGAGTCAATCGCGACCGATGATTGTTTCAAGTTGGTTTTTTTTTTCGTCTCTTGAGATATTTACTATATTTCAGCTTTACTTTCTCAACAGGTTCTACTTCGAAGTCACAGCCCATCATTGATTTGTCTTCACCTGATTCTCAAGCGACTTATCAATCAAAGAAAATGCAGGCTGCCGCAATCATGAAGACGCAGCCATCGAGCCATAACTTGGATTATGGAAACTTGATACAACAAGAAATTATCAAGCAGTTGAGTCCTGAAAAACAAGCGTCAAATGCTCCCAGCAGATCTTCCGCAATTCCGAATTCCACCCAAGCGCACAAATCGTATTCGACTTCTGTGTCGAGTGGGTATTCTGCTCATTCTTCCCAGAGATACCAAAGCCAGTCTTCGACAAGTTCGCAACCTACCTCAACAACTCCTACGTATTTCCAAGAAGGTCTTGGCTCTCGCGTTCCTTCAAATCTCTCTGGCTATAATATCAGTCCGACCAGTCAGAAAAGCTCGGCGACCTCGGCTAATTACGCGAGTTCACCGATGTCGGGTAGCCCGACGATGAGGATAAGTTCATCGTCATCCTCGGGAAGTTACATTGGTTCTACAAGCAGTCCTACTCAACGAAGCTCATCCTCGTCATCGTTGAATTACTCCAATGCTGCCCAGCGATCGTCTTCGACGTCTGGAAATTATCTGTCCTCAACAGCTCCTGTGACGAGTTATAAGACGACGAGTAGCGCGGCACAAAATGCCGCAGCAGCTACCATGCGAGATTACCGTCATCAACGAGCACCTTCTCAGGGATCCCATTCATTGACGCAAAGCAAACAGATCACCTCAGCGCAGCGCAGTGGCTCATTTCCGGCGCCTCCATCGAGGTCGTCTTCAGCCGCTGGGCAACTCGCAGCTTATTACACGAAGGCGTCCGCGGGATCAGAAGGTAAATAATACTTCGTGGACGAAGGAAATCACACGTTTTTTTGGCGCATGAGTTCTTTATGGAAAAATTCTGATGAATTATCTTCGATTATTTTCAATAGCATGACTTCTGTTTTGTTGTCTTAACGTTCAACCAACACCGCCGTTAAAAAAATGGAAACTTTCCGCGCTGTCTTACTTTTTCGTTTTACCTGTTGTTCAAGTTACTTAACGTCAGGGACTGTGTTGAATGATAGTGTACTACTGAGAAAGGTATGCGAATACCTTAACAGAATTTACTATAGCAAAAGTTTTCTTCCTCTAACCCTACAACTCATTTCTTCGTTTCGCGAGTCATCTCTAACTTTACTTTATTGTAAGGTATTAACAAGGTCTGATCAATTTCAAGACGAAATTAAAACTTTTTTCATAATGGATGGCTTATTTAGAATCTAACCTGGAACCCGGAAAAGTAAAAAAAAAAAACTGAGGAGGTTGGAGGTCAAATTTGTCTTCAAGGATATTTAAGTCTATTATTGCATTTTTTTCTTTATGTGCTTTTAAGGTGTGATGCAGGCGTATCAGGATGCGTCAACGCTATCGCGGTATCACCCCACCAGTAGTGAAGCCAGAATTGCGGGCTCTTCCAGCCAAGGAAACCTGTGAGTTTTCAACTTCATACTTTCTTAGACCCAGAGCGTTCTCATTTTCTGAACTTGGTTTTCGCAGACCTTTTTCTGGTTTCAGTACTGCTTCCCAGCCGACGACCCAAACCAGGAAGACTTATGAACAACCGAGAGCTGTTCCACAACCAACAGTCCAATCTTACTCGACCTCGACAAAGCAAATGTTTTCCAATGATGAGCAACAAAACGTGTCTCACCCGGGATACTACACCAGCCCAGTTTACCGACAACATCAACAACAATCTCATACACAAAATCAGTATGGAAGTTGATTCGAGGCTTCATTGATTTATGTTCAGATGCTTTGATGCTCGTTTTCGTTTGATAAACTGGGGACACAATCTGGAAATCGTGAAGCGTCTCGACGTCAGGTATATGACAACGTCTAGTCCTTTCAAACACGGTTGTGTCCTACAGCAATGCATGTATGCATTTTGAATATGCCTCTCGTCGAGTTGCTTCTAATTTTTGTTCATTTTTGTAAAACCGGAGAGGAGTTGTGGATATTTTTTGCAATTGCAAGCGGGCTATTTCTGTGGTTGAGTAATTAAAACTGCCATTTAAAACTTATGCCTGCGTTTTTTTCTATTGTACGTTTCTTAGTTTTCATTCTGAATGAAACTTCGAAGAAACGTTGAATCTAAATTTTTCATATCGAATAGATGTTCGTCACTATTCCGTAGTAGAATATATTTCAAGACAGCGTAAAGCAGCATGCACCTGCTCTGAACACTTTTTTCATCATGTGCCGGAAGAAAAAATCTCCAAAACCGTATAAAAAAAGTATATTAAAAGTTAATGATTAACTCGTTTATAAGTATCCTAGTTCTACTTTCATCTTACGAGTACTAAAGTAAAATTATATTTGTTTCAATAAAAAAATTTGGCTAAAATTTTAATTCGTGAAGAGCCTTCAACGAGACTCAAATTTTCACTGTTAATTGACTTTTCAATCGCAGTGTATTGGGATTAGATCTTCAGTATTTTTCATTTCCTTGCTTGAGTTCGTATAATTTCTTGACTGTAGAACAGAAATTCTTGCCAATATGTTTGGTAAAATGGTCCAAGTTCATACATCAGCTCTTTTACCGAAATGAATTCGAGCATCCTTTCGACCTTTCCCACTTCACGTCAGAAGCTTGTGGTGAAAATGCTTTCGTCTCACTCACGCTGCGCTTATAGCAACAACAGCCAACATCTTTCAGTGCTGAATTGATTTCTTTTTACTTCTCTTAATTTATGATGTAAAACGCGTGGGAGCTGTACTGTACTTCGAAACGCCTCGGTGCAGAACACGGCTCCTACTCCGTTGAAATATGCCCGCATGACGGTTGCCATACGAGGGGAGCTGGTATTGGATCGTGTTCCTCGTAAAAGTTGTGGATGCAGGGTGACGATTAATTCAGTCCATTGAAGATGCTTACGATGTGCACTGAAGACAAGGTCCTTTTTTTTCGTCCTGCAGTGTTTAATCCTACTCATTACGATTTTCTACCTTTGTAGGATGTGCGAAAATCTTTTCAAAATCGATTCATATATTCAGCTTCGCTTAAAATTTTTGACTGTTGGGTTTACTTCTGATAACGATGCACACCGTCGGCAGAAGTGCGCAGTTTACGCTTACTTTCTTCCGAACAAAAATTTATTTAAATTTTGCATTTAAAAGTATTGTTCCCTGCTTTTATACGCGCAATAGTTTTACCAGCGAAAAATCACGCGGAGGCAATAAATGGCGGAATTTTTTATAAAATCAAAAAAAGGTTGCCAACGAATTTTGCTTGCATTACAATGCGCAAGAAACTCTTCTCTACTTATACAGTACAGTACTTATGAAAGCGTGTCAGAAGTCCATCTGCTGAAGTTAAATGCCAATGCTATTGCCAATCACATTGCATAGCTATTAATGAATTCAAGCTGCCAATAAATTCAAGTTCCCTAGTCCACTTTTCTTTCGATTGAAATTGATATGCATATGAGTTAGGTTAAATATTCCATTTTAAATGAAGAAAATGCCAGGTTCCTGTTGTATGTAATTACTGTAAGTAAATCTTTCTGTGAATCTATTCTTATGTAGTGATGAAAAAATCATTTGCACAGGAGCATGTTTGTGGATCACCTTCTCTAAATTATTTGCTTGCGTACAAAGCAAAGACCTTTTCCCCACAATTTTTTGTGCGGTACATAAATAACTATAGGAACGAATGTATTGTATATTTAAGTAAATATGTACACGGGCATGCGCCTCATGCTAACAATTGATGATCCTGTGGTTTTGTATGAGTGGTGGGTGCTATCTTGGTCTGACTGACGGTATAAGAGCGATGGTATTGCTGAAAGTTGAGTGACGGCTGAAATTGAGTCATTCCATTGATCCTAACTTCAGATTTTTTCATGATTCATAGTTCAATTTCATTTGTGCCGAAAATTAGGAAAAATGGTATCAACGGTCCAAAAAATCCGTTTCTAATGCGGAATTTTTTTTTATCGCCAGTCCTGTAAAGAATGAACAGAGAAATGCATTTTTAAACTTTATACAGTATGTTCTGCTGTATATTGCATGTTTACGTAGTATGTGATAATTGCAGCAGATTGTCTTCAATTTATATACAGTACAGTATACTTGAGGAAGATATATACGCGCCTGCACTTCAGTGAATTCTGCATATCGCTCGTAAAATGGCAACTATTCACGACACCTTCGAAATACTGCTGGACAACCACGGTGACATACTGGGCAGTCAAGTAGCACTAATTCACTCCAACACATCCGTGACGTATGATGAAGTAAACCGTTCCGCAAACCGTTTGGCGAGAGCGATTGTTTGCCTAGTTCAACGTCTTCGAGAAAAAAGATCCAAGAAACTTCGCAGGAAATCCTGCACGGAGCAGCAGGAAACCAACGAATTTATAGTTGGTGCGAATACTTTTATGAAATAATCTTATGGACATGTCTTTTAGGAACACAAATAAGACGGCACCGCATGAAACCCGTTTTCTAATATTGTATTCTTATTAGGATTAATGGGAAGGAGATCATAGTAGAGTTCGGAAATTTAGACTCATCGTGCTCATTTCTGAAAAAGTTTGATTTGCGTGTCATTTTTTCCGACGAGTGTTCAAATTTATGCAGGGATTTTTTTAAATTTAGAGGGAAAACGATAGACTTTTCATGAAAAAGTGAGCTTTTTGGCAGAATATTAAAATATCAATATAATTATTAATATATTTGCCATTATATGCCTTTAAGTGAGACATGGTTGGGCTTTTTGAAGAATTGTTCTATATAAAAAAGAAACTTTTGAACAGTATTTGTTTTAAAGAATATTAACTTGTGTACTTCGTAAGCTTTCTGATGGGAAGAACTTCATAATTTGTTGACAAGGGCATACTTTTTTTCAAGAATTTTTCCGCTGTTTGAAAATATCGCAATTTAAAGGAACACCTCATTTACCCGAGTATCAGCGCGCGCACTTTTTTCTAAAAACTCGGGTAAGAAAAGTATAGGTTACACCTGGTTAGAAACTTTTCAAGAAGGAAAGCAAATCATGTAACTTTATCGGTGTAAGTGAGAAGCTATAGTCTCTGGTTAAAAAATGAATAGAAAATTTTGCTCAACGCCAATCTTGATTCGATTCTGTATGTTCTTCAAAATACAGTAATTATATGTAAGGTTGTGTCATTAAAATTTATAATTAGGTATTAAACGAATAGTTCGATTTTCAGTCGAAAAAAAGTGTTGTGCAGGTCTTCTGCGAGGATAGTCTTTTTGGCGAATTTTATGCCTAAAAATCAAGGTGCGAGTCTTGTACTATGTACTCAAGTGCTGGTGGTACTGGAGTAAATACGGTACACAGGATACGGTAATTAAATACTGTACTGAAATTCAAAATAAGAAATGCCTGAGAAGCGTCCAATCTTTACCTTACAATTAGAAAATAATTTTACTGAACAAATTTATCTATAGAATAAAGACGAGAGACGATTTCTCAGTTTCATTTTTTTTTACTCACACTGATTTTATTACTACTATTTTCAATGTGAGGCGTGAGTTTGGAACCCAGTCACGGCCTGGTCACGGTCATGCTGGCAGTTCTAAAGGCTGGAGGCGCCGTTTTGCCAATTGACGGGGATTACCCCGCTGCTGTTGCTCGCCACATGATTCGGTCAGCCAGACCCGCCATTGTCGTGGTCGACATCAAATGCGAGTGGCAATCCCGAATAATGGACGAGTTCGTCACCGTGGTTCAATTCGAATCCCTGGTTGAGGCGTCCGTGGCGCAGGATTCCATCGACTTGACGGATCCCGAAGGACTCCTTGCCTTCGCTGCCGAAGAGAACCAGGAGGAAAAGAATTACCCGTCTTATCCACCGCACGGGGATCGACTGGCTTTTGTCATGTTCACTTCTGGAAGCACTGGGCTGCCCAAAGGTATCCATTATTTACTTTTGGATTGTACTTCTTTTTCTTCCTGGATCCACATTAATAAGCTACTCCAGGATCACAAATTGAGAATACTTTATGTAGGATATATGAACTTATGAGCTTACAACGAAAAATACCCGTATTACCTCTGAAATCACATTACGATCGATTGTTGAAACACGTATCCTCATATTGGAAGGATGGAATGCAATACAGTAGTCTCGATAGATGATTCCCAATAAAAACCGACAAAGGTCATCAAGAGAACAACAAATTAGAAAAAAAAATTCACATTTCCCCAGTTGCATTATGCATACTTATGTAAAATAAAGATCATGATTGCATTCTATAATTAGTACGAGAATTCAATAATATGGCAATTGGTAAAAATAGGAAGTGCTGATGTCAGAAACAACTTTTGTTTAAGGAGGAAACCTTCTTGGTTCCAGTGGCGTCGATGCTTACCCATCGCGAAGTGCTGCTGTGTGTGTATCAACAGCTTTTATTTACACACTATATTTTAAATATGTATTGGATGCAGGTATTTGGGAAAATGCCCTGCAAAAATCAGATGAGAATTATTCAAGAAGTATTCAAGTACTGTACCTGTATAGATAACATCACAGTCTCATATACTGTATATATGCGCGTCAGCATGTAAGATTACACGCTACTTTGGAAATAATGCGACATTATTTAAATCAACTACGACACAAAAAAAAGTCAGTGGACCTGGTTATTTCCCATGCGAAAGCAGTAAAAAAAAAAACGACTGTACTGAACACCATCCAATCGCTGTTCCATGTTATTTAAATCTCGATGCATGAGCATTTTTCCGAAGAAATTACCCACCTCTTATTATGCTGGAAATCTTATTCGGAAACTTTGATTTTTTTTTGCTGCAGCGTAGACTTGTTTCCCGAGGAAATTTCTACGAATTCTGTCGCCTCTTACACTTCGTTTCTCTCCTGAAATTTCTGACATAAATTCAGGCATGCTCGAATTTCAGTCTTGTGCGAAGACTTATTTAGAGAATCAGGGGTGCAAATTTTCAATCGTCCGACCTTGAAGTAAGGACTCAAAATAAAGAGTTTCAATTTCTTACACCGTATAAAGTCAGATTGAATGTCCAGTAAATGAAAAAAATATCCCCAAAAACTTGCCCTAAAAAGGATGTTTAAACTACGAAAAGCTTGAAAATTGTGGGGAAATGTTCGATTAAAAGGAAGGAATCATGACATAGGCACATCTGAGCGAGTTGCTGCAAAACTTCGATGATGATCCTATGATGTGTTTTTTAAGGCGTCTTGCTGTCGCACTCCGCAATAATGAATCGCCTCAACTGGCAATGGAACCGATTCCCTTTTCTGAAAACTGAAGTCTGTTGCTTCAAAACGAAGATTACTTTCGTGGATGCGATCGCCGAGATTTTCGGTCCTCTGCTCAAGGGCGTACGCCTCGTGGTTTTCAAACGATCCACGGTTCGCAACGTGGAGTCTTTCGTTTCCTCGTTAGAAGCAGCTGGGATTAGTCGGATCGTTCTGGTTCCTTCCCTGCTGCGAGCGATTCTCAAGCAGGTATAAAATCAGAAGACTAATAATTATGATACTCCTATAATTCGACTGAAGTTCCTCAGAATACTGTACAGTATATTATTTAATAAAAAAAACTTGCCTTAGGTCCGAATTCTGAAAGTCGCTCGCGCTTCGAGTTGCAACGGCATTCCATTGCAAAAACTCACCTTGTGGATTTGCTCCGGCGAGGTGCTGCCCGCGTCCCTGGGCACACACTTCTTCCAAACCCTCGCTGTTGGCCGATCCGCGGGTCGCCGAATATTATGCAATTTTTACGGAACTACGGAAGTTGCCGGTGACGTGATGTACGAGACATTCGAATCCTCCGAAGTGTTTCAAAGCAAATTGCACGTCGGACAAGTGCCTCTCGGGTTCGCCTTGGACAACACTCGAATATACCTGGTGGATGTTGACGGACAGCATTTGGTACCCGAAGGAAGAGAAGGAGAAATTTGCGTGGCAGGCTTCAACGTGGCCAAAGGGTACCTCATGGGACGCGGGAAACAGTTCGTTGATAACCCCTTCTCTTCTGAACCAGGTTAGAAATCCTTCCTATTTTTCATCGGCTTATCAAAATAAAAATATGTTTCTCAAAAATCCTGATGTATATTAAGAAAGTATGTTCTTTGAATCTTGAAGAAGAACTTTTTTTTAGCTTCGAAGGATCCATTAAAAAAGCTTGAATGAGTTGTTAAAACTTCGGAAATACACTTTCATTATGATGCGAAAATGGCATTGGCTTAAAGTTATATTGAGCGATGGCGGAAGTAAAATACTTGATTTCGGTTTTTAAGGGATTCAAAAAAAATTTGAGTCCAAGTTTTTTTGAAATATAAAATGAATAATATTTGAGATGAAAAGCAGCCAAGTTCCAAATTTAAAATGTGGAACATAAGTAGGCCAGCATCCATTCATTTTAAATTGATGCATATTTCATTGCAATGATTTTGAAGACTACTGAATTCCCGTCGCTATATTCTTGTGTGTTATTGAAACTAATTTTTCACATACGGGCATTCGTAATATTCCTTTTGACGATCGTCGAAGAGTTGCGCAATCATTTACGCAGATGCTATTAAACCTGGTCAATTCAAGTTCATTAGCAATTTGCGTATTTCATACTCTCATGCATTATATGTGGATATTTCGAGGCGCGCAGGTAAATTTCAATTTCGGTTCAGAAAAGAGGCGATTTGTGAATTTGATCTGTGAAAATACGGAATGCAGTGTAGCTATTCTATATAATATTCTTTAAATAAGTTTTAAAATATTATGAAGCTGCTCATTCATTCAATCCGAAGCTTATTGACATTTTCAAGGTTACACGGTTCTTTTCCGAACTGGAGACATCGGTCGCTGTGTTGGTGATCAGGTCCTGTTTTGCGGTCGGAAAGATGGAATGGTCAAAATTAGGGGACAAAAAGTGCACGTGGAAGAAATCGAGGGAGCATTTCGTGGAATCGATGGCGTTGACAGAGCAATTGTTGTTTGTCGTCAAAGGGACGATGCTGATCCGGTCGGTCTTAATTACCGTAATCGAATCAGCAAATTATCATTTTTTAATTTGGCGATTTTGTAAAAAAAAAAAGGGGCTTTAAAGGCTGTATTTCCGTGACCTGAGCAACTTTCAACCTTCTAATTGCTGATCTTCGGATAGCTTTTACAATGAATTCCTCAGTTGGAAATACAGTCCAACTAAACTTCTGTGACGTTACGAAGCCCTCAGAACTTACGACGTCCGAATTTTCTTCAATGTTTTAATTTATTTTTGGTTCCAAAAGAAAAAAAATATGTCACATTGATTTTTTCGAGTAAAGGGTATACAATTCTTCGTATACAGTAACATTGTCATTGAAAGTTTGAAACCTCACTGTAATACTCGATCATAGAGTTTAATAAGCTTTTTTTAATATTGCAGGACAAGAAACCTTTCTCTCTGGTATCGAATTTATATCTGGCAGATCTTTTAATTCAAAAGCATGTGTGTTCTGTGCAATATAATTAGTTATATTTAAATTAATATTTGGGTCTAACCAGTATCCTTCTAGACACGAGAAAATCACCAGTGGAACTAGATCCATTATATATCTCAGTCAATTTTTCAGTTCTAGAGTACGGACAATTAATTGGTATCAACTTTCGATAAATGAGATAAACAATTAAGATAGTTGATTTATCTGGAACTTTGAAATTGAACATCGTCTTCGGGTTTTTATGATGCAGGCCGCAACTCAAGTATCCAAGAAAACGCACTTTTGTAACATTTGATGCATTAGGAATGCCATTGATCGCAAGTTGTAAGATTCTTCATTTTTCTTTAGTATTTATTACCATTAAAAAAAAGTTAAATGATCCAATATAATTGATTGTACTGTACTTTGAAAATTTACGCGGGTGTTGGGGTCCTCGAAATTCAATTTTTTAAAGTTTTGATGATAAATCATCTTAAATTTACTTTCCATCTGCGCTTAAAATAAACTGAATACAAAGTACTAAATAGGGTTTGACTCGATATTATATTGATTTCAACTATAGCTGATCGTCGGATTTTACACGACGGAAGATAATGACCTGAGCGAGGCGAAAGTAAAGGACATTTTGCGCCTCAAAAACCGTTCGATAGCTCAGGGTGTGCACTACGCGCACCTAACGTAGGGAAACAACGGGTTACCCTTTTGGCTGTCTGTCGCGGAGAACGCTGCGAAGCTTACGGATTTGACGCGACCACTCGGTGTTAATACAGTAATAAAAAATGTAACTCCTGAGACGTGAGCTGTGATTCAACAATAAAGTCTGTTTTCTTATTTTGGTAATAACAATAGCTGATGTTGAGATTGACGACAGAATGCTGTTCGCCTACGGAGACGAACACGTTCGGAAAGCTGCGAAGGCCGTTTTGAAAGCCGTCGGCAAGATTATGGGACCCTCCGCGATTTGCAAGGCGACTCCGAACAACTCGTTTTTCTGTATTGGAGGAAATTCGTTGAATGCTATTGAGTTTCTTATTGTCATGGAGAATCTCGGATTCAAGTTAGGTAAGCTGTGATTTAGAATGCAAATTTAATTTTAGAAATCGATTCCAGCTGTTAAAAGAGGTGCGCAAGAAACTGAAATCCAGATAGGCTTAAAGAGTCGACGCTTGTAAAGGAGCTTTAACGGCGGTTCAACAGTGGTTTACAGGGCCATCTTTCTTTTAGCGACAAAGGTTCAAAGGCGCGAGTTCCCATGGATGCACAAAATTGCACCTATCCGGAAATCAAAAGGTGAAATTTTTTTTTCTCGCCAAAAGCAGCAGTTCATGAAAGCAGGGATAAAACGTATCATTGCTCGAAAATTACTTTATTATTCTTTTTCTAAAATCAGTCACTGATTTCTTTCGATCAACGGGCCTCTACTTTTTAGCTTAAATAAAAATGAAGGACAGCAATCGAATTGTTCCACAGGGTTTATCATTCTTCATATGGTAAAGAAGCCATATGGCTTCTTGACAACTGCTGTACTTTGAATTGAATTTTTTTTAGCATATGCAACACATTAACCTACATACTCTTGATAAATTCACGATGATAATTGATGCCCTTTCACAGGATTGCCATTGAAAGCTTCCGTAAAAAAGGAATAATTGAGAGGTATCTCCCGGAAATTCCATCTGTGGATCAGTTTGAAGAACTGCTCGAAATTGTACTTCCGGTTTGCGTCGATTCCGGCTTGAGGTATGATAATTATCTTGAAAAGTCGTCAAGAACTTGAATCAGCAAAAATGAATCCCTATAGTTTTCTAGTGCTGGATGAAAGTGCCAAAATTGTCGGACTTTCATTGAACTACGATTTTTCACGTCAAATCCACGCTTCTTTGAGACCAGGAGTCGTTCGTTACATGGTCGAATTGATGTCATGGCTTGAACTCACTATGAGGTACGTTCCCTTCGGGGTACACCGAAAAATTTTCCGTGTTTGCTTAATTCTAGAATATACAGTACTGTATTTCTTGTATTAAAATAAAATAGTGAAAATTTCCATTTATTATATCTTCTCTGGTTAACGCCCTCAACAGACACAAGGTGCCTTCGGAATCCGGGAAAGTGATGTCAAATATGTGGCTTTCTGCTGATCCAGAGCTTGGACCAGCTCTAGCTGTCGGTGTCATGGAAAGTTTAGAAGCTGGCAACGTCGAGGTTGCGAGAGTGAATGAATTCGAGTACATCGTGACGTACAACATTAATCCCGTCTCTCAGGTGAGAAGTAAAAAGTGATCGACTTGGAATTTATGAATTGATAACTGAGGAAATAGTCAAGTTTTCTAATCATTCAAGCGTATAGTAATACAAACCGAAAAATAATTTTAAGATGGCTTTGTAATTTCAAGCGTTTTGGCATTCGTTGCAGCAATTGGCAAGAATTCTGGGGTATGAAATAATCGAGCAGCGGATGTGCAACCAGTTTGTGAGCTCCGACGGATCTAAACCTTTCGTCTGCATTCCCAACAAAGTTTCAGTGGAGGCAGCCATCTTGAGTTTTGGACAGGATTCAAACCCTTAAGACTACGTTAGCATATGGTGTATGATAAAAGGGATCTTTATCTAACTACGACTGAAATTCTATCCTGCACCAAACACTATTGTACATTTGAGAATTCACATGGAATATGTTGTACAGAATGGACCATTAAAATTCAATCCATTTGCATAAGAAGACTGTAGTTCCATGAATTCTGTTTGATCGAGCTGTTCTGTTGAAAAGTGCACCACATGAAAGATAATTCAATTTTAATTCGATTGACGTTCAATTTTTTTTCGCATAATGCTTTGATATTCTCTCCTTTGACACTTTTTGAATGCTACCCAAATGTTATACAGTACTTAACTATAATTTGTTTGATCATTCCATGTTTATTTAAAAAAAACACCCAAAATGAGCAGCCAGGCAATAGTAATTATTTTTCTTACGAGGTTTGACGAAATTTATCTCCTTGGGCTTCCAGATTTTCATATCCATTATTCTAATGCTCGGTACTATACTGTAGTAAGTTTTGAGAACTTTTCCATTTTTAAAAATTGATATTTCAGGGCATGCCAAAAACATTTCAAAACAGTCTTGAAGTATATTAATGTCGAGATTACTGGAATAAAATAATTCGACTTTGCGGAATTAAAAAATGCAGCTTTTCAATCCCCGGTCACCAACAGTACATCTTTTTCAAATATCTGTATTGATCAGCCACACTCGTGCTGTGCGTTCAGCTTGTTAAATTTGAAATGTAGTAATAAATTATAAATATAATTGAATGATCTCTGATGTGGTGTTTTTTGAGACATGAAACGTTCAAACCATCCAAACCATACAGCATATTTCTATTTGGAAATATTTGCATTTGTCTGCTCCTTCTGTTCAGCTGTATACTGTATATAGTATGCTTCTATGACATAATTTTCATACTAACGCTTATATATACAGGTATAACCGACTTCTTCAAGTGCAGCACAAAGTTAATTTCTTTTTGCGCGGAGGACTTGCATTGTGTGTGAATTTATCAAGTTTGGTTACAAAAAACTACTGGTACAGAAAATAAAAATTTCAAGGGAAATACGAGTATCCAACTATTTTTTTCTTTCTGCAACTTCAAAAGCGTGTTTCAGGGGTTCAACCCGCGGAGCTGCTGATTCGTAATTGAACACTCGCAAAAAAAGAAACGTTACGCCACTTGACCGTTAAAAAAGACGTTACTGTCATCCTTCGAGGCTAAAGGTTGAAAGTCCTGAACGTTAAGCTAAGGTGCTCGGGGTAAAAACATGGCTTGCAACAGAGTTGTAGCTGCGACGGAAATAAAACTGCCTCCGTAGCGCATCATTGACTTCGTCCGTAACGGACCACGACAAAAACGAATAGATCGAACGAAGGTAAGAATTTGCATCATTGACGACGTCTTCGTAACGTATCACTTTGACCCTATTTGAATATGACACATGAAAATTAAACACAAGCCACAGCAGATGTTCTGAGGTCTTTTTCTTACTGATTTTTATCAAGTTCACGCAGCTTGTCGAAATTCCATAAATATTTCTCGCAAATCGCATCTGCGTTTAGGGGAAATTTGGCTTTCCTTGAAATATGTAGCCGAGAGTTCATAATCCCTCTAGGATCCCTCACTAGAAATATGATCTAATAAAAGATAGAAGCACACTGTTCTTTCTTCATAACTTTTTCTCGTTTCCAAGGCTAACCTTGATGGACGACTCAGTGATGTATCTCATAAAATTTTCGTTTATTTTCAAACGAATCACCTTGGCTACAACTGACTGTTCTTCGCTACCACATCCTTTGCTAATCTTTTCCATTCTTTGCAATGCGGTGAACTGGCAATTTTTTCTGCAATGACAGTAGGAAGCTCCGATTTCCAACTTTCAGGACTTGCAATTCGATTCCACGAGCCCCATTTTTGTACCGAACGTTGTCTCAACATCTTGCGACGGAAATAAAACTGCCTCCGTAGCGCATCATTGACTTCGTCCGTAACGGACCACGACAAAAACGAATAGATCGAACGAAGGTACGAATTTGCATCATTGACGACGTCTTCGTAACGTATCACTTTGACCCTATTTGAATATGACACAAAAAATTAAACACAAGTCACAGCAGATGTTCTGAGGTCTTTTTCTTACTGATTTTTATCAAGTTCGCGCAGCTTGTCGAAATTCCATAAATATTTCTCGCAAATCGCGTCTGCGTTCAGGGGAAATTTGGCTTTTCTTGAAAGATGTAGCCGAGAGTTCATAATCCCTCTAGGATCCCTCACTAGAAATATGATCTAATAAAAGAGAGAAGCACACTGTTCTTTCTTCATAACTTTTTCTACAAAGGTTCCGATTGGAACTACCTGCTGAGTCACTACATAGAGTATTTTAAAAGCAAATAAAAGTTTGCTTAGTGGAACCGATGTTGACTGACAAGAAGCGATGGTGTAGGAAACGATTAGAAAAGGAATAGCTTGAGACAAAACCATTTCCTTGCAAATCGTACACGTGACTCAGTTGCGAGTCGTTTGAAGTACCTGAAATTGAGAATTATTGCAATCACCGGGAATAAAGACGCGTTTAAATCGAATAAGTGGTCATCGCGACAAATGGAAGATACACTATACTGCAGTTGATTTCAGTTCCATAGTTCATGTTCATTTTCCAAATTTCACGACGAGAATGCAAGTTAAATTGTACTCACATGATGTCACAGTCAAGAGCAGCTTTGATTGACTTCAGTGCTTTTTCATTGTCATCAGGAATAACTAGGTCGAGAGATCGATCGTGACTGTAGTTCATTTGATTTTGTCTAGGGAATTGTTTAGACAATCCAAGTTCTTCTTTGAGGAAGTAAAGTGGTTCGAAAAAGAAAGAAGTGTTTTCCCTTGAAGCTATGAGCCTCGAAATGTTTGAACTAGGTCTAGAACGGAGACGGTGCTGTTCATGTGCGAATAAGCGTGACAAGGAGCACTGGCCATGACGAACACAGCAGCAACTCTGGCCTTATTCAGATTAAAACGTTTCTCTTTGGTGTAGGAATTTTCTCGCAACTTTAAATGAAAGAACGTGCTTTCTAAGTGCTGGTGAATTACCTTTGCTCACGAGTCTCAAAAGTTTGCAACGTGGTGAATGCAAAAAGTAACAACAGCATTACACTCGACGCGACAGCCAGGCGTTTCGGAGTCACCTTGACTCGATAAAAACGTAAGAAATGCATAATGAAAGAATCGAATTCTGGAAAGTGGAAGGAACATTTTAATGTCCGTAATTTTTTCTGCAGATGAAAAAAGTGCACAAGTGAATTTCTGAACGAAGTGCTCAACAGCGAGAAAAAGTACAATAGCAAGTACTGAACGACGAACAGTGCTACATCATGGTTTGTTTATCGCCGAAGTTTGGCAAGAAAATAGGGCAGCTGTTTTTTTATTATTTAGCAGGTCTCCATCTATTATGGGGGGTGAAGTACTACTTACTTGCTATAATTTAGTGGGTCACATGGCATCTAATTCTTTCTACGTATGAAACTCTCAGACTTTAACGCTCGACATGATCTAGTTTTGCCGATTACATCTTCTGGATGGCCGATTATTATGAAAAAGAAATACATGATTTGTCTCCTCTTTTTCGCTTAATTTTTTTTCGTCCAGCAAACCAAACGACCGCAACGTGTTACTGAAGTATTTCCTTACAACGGACTCGAAGATCCGTGCAATTATCGTGCTTGGCCATTAAAGAGTGTTAAACTAAATGCTGGAAAAGGATCTTAGCAAAAATGTACTAAGTCTCGAATCCCCTCGATCTAGAAATGTTTTAGTAAGATAACTTTATGTACAAAAAAATCAGGACCAACTTTGGGAAGTAGAAAACCTGATTATTGCATTAGAAATGTTTGAGCCTATATAATAACCTTTATGGTTACAGTATTTTTTGGAGGCTGTGTAACACACACAGACAAAATTTTATTTTATTTTTCATGTCCAAACTATTGTGCTGCAACTTGCACTATATATAGGCAACCATTTATTATGTATCAAATGGCACATATACGTCTGGGCACAAATGCTTGCGCTGGAAGTTGTGTGATGTGAGTTTTTAATATCGATCAAGTTAGAAAGGATAATTATTAAAATGTTCTGCATTTCCTATTCCTAATCATTTTGTTAGTATCACGTAGATGTGTAATTATTTTTTTCTTCGAGGCAGGCTGGATTTTGACAAATGACAAAATCAGACTTCAACAGGATCAGTACTGCTGGCTGCAGAAGTGCTCCCTCCACAGCGGAAATGTCACCCATATTTTATTTACTGGCTTCTATTTGTTATAGATGTAAAATTCAATGCATCCGATTAAGCTTTCTGAAACTCTACCGCACGGTTACATCGATAATTCCTCACAAAAATCGACTCCATCTGGAATTTTTAAAAATTGTGATTCAGTTCTGAAGACAAGCGAATCTCGCAGGTTGTCAGCCATTCAGATGACTCAAAGGTATGCAAACCTTGAATCATTTTAAAGACAATCGCCTGAACCATATATGCAGTATCAAGTCAAGAAAAGCA